TTTTTTTTTTTTTTAAATGATGAAGACGTGTTACATGGCTGCACTGTACATATCTAAATGTAAATATATACAGGTCTAACATGTGAAACAGACGGTGGGATTTTTTTTCTTTTTTGTGCTTGCTTACTTTTGAAGACGGACTCGACCAAAGCGAGGATTTGCATCAAAATAATAATAATAATAACAAAAAAAAAAAAAATCGAGCATGTAACGAATCAATGAGAAAACACAAGAAAATCCGGCCTTTACTGTACATACTTTATACTGCTTCTGTGTGCTTTCTATTTACCGCATATGCAGGGTGACTCCACGACGCCTCCCGTTTGAAATGCTTTTCATTTTGTTTGCTCCAATAGAAAAAAAGAGAGAGAGAGAGAGTGAGAGAGAGACCCTGCATGTTTAACTTGAGTGCAACGTGTTTTGTACAATAATGTAAGACTTTGCAGAAGTACGTTCATTAGCCTAAACTGTATACAAAAGGTGATTCAAAGTCCTCATGTGTTTATGGTAACATGTTTGTTTGAATAAACTCCAGGAAAAGAGAGGTTTATTTCAAGTACATGTCTTAGAGGAGTCTTTGTTTAAGGAGACAAGCACTCGGGCTCCGGGTTTCCCCCCTCAAAATATGAGAAAAATAAATAGGTTGGCTAAATATCCCCAGCGTAGTGGTCCACTTAGTTTAAGGGTAGGGGGATTATCTTAGAAAGATGAAGAATCTTTTGCGGTTATTTCGACAAAGTGGAATCAATTCGAGCTTTAACTATAATATTTAATTTTATGTGTTTGTTTGTTTGTTTTTTGAAGCTCCTTTAATATAATTTTTATTTCAGAGGAGGGTGGGTAGATAAATCCACCTGACCCAACTTTGGGACCTCAGCAGCTACATTTCTATGAGCTGCTCTCATTATTATTTGGTCATCGTGTTAATGAACACATCTCAGCGCTCACTGGATTTTCCAGTAATAGATTTATGGTTAATTTTACTCGACTTTTGTTCCCATCACTCCCTATACAGAAGATTATATTGGGGGCTCATTCAATCCTGGTTATTCTGCTGCAACACAGAGCTATTTCTGTCTGCGTACTAAAGGACGGAGATTATGTCCCACTAAAAGGATAATTTCAGATCACCTGAAACCTGAGCTGCTTATTAAGAGTTCCACCAGCGTGTGTGGAAACCTGGAGTGCGCATTCAGGAACATTAAGGACTGACAAACACGGCAGTTACACTTTCTGAAAGGGGGTGAAAAAGGCTGAATACACTGAGCAGATTTCACAAAATAAATAAATAAAAACATATTCAAACACACCTGGGAACATTTTATCTAATTACATCTAGATGGATATTTTGTGGGCTAGAATCTTTTATTTGCACCTCCGGGGGGAGGAAAAAATGCAACTGGCGACAAGCCCGTGCACACAAAATGATTTCAGTCAATACCCTATCTTGTTTTCTGACACCTGCAGAAATCCCCGTATCTATATTACTCACCATTAGACTGATATTAGTGCGCTGCTGGAGCAGCCACCAGTGTGTGCTTTAACTGATAACGCTGGGTCTTAGAGGATATTGGATTAGAGGCAACACTTTAATAAACAACTGGATAGTAAAAAGAAATGATTTATATATACATATCTCAATAAGACAGCAAACTCCAATGTAAACTGAAAATAATTTTTAACTAATACTAATATTTTTTTACTACTTTTTAGTTACACGGTCCACACAGCAATTTCCTTAAGGTAATACTCACCTTCTGGCATTTTGTATCAAATTCTTTGTTTCCCATGCTCAACTGTAAGTTTACCTTGATTCTGTGGTAATTATTCTCGATACTTCGTGTAAAATGAAGGTGTCTATGTAATTTAATGAGCATAAAATGCAGTGTGACTCAAGCCCGTGCAAAGTAAGTGTGAATGAATTATATCTTCTAAGGGGGCTTCATATTATTCTCCCACAACTTCGTCATAATTGTATCTTGACATAATGTTACCTCCACTCTCAGCACATGACCGTTTGTGGAGATCTTCCCTCTTTTTAAAGTCGTTTTATTCATTTAAAATAAAATATCGACACGGGGTGAGTTTGTGGCTCTTGGATAGCTCTCCAGATCCGATTAGATATGAGGTTATCCTCCTTTAAAGGACTATTGCACATTTTTATTACAGTTTTTATTTCTCTAACCTTCTGCCGTGGCCTTGCTGACGCTCTTTTGTCATTGAGATTTCACTATTCACAACAAGTCACAACAGTCATATCAACCGCGTGCCCGGCTGCAAATTCTTTCCTAGGGCGCGCCTGAGCGCACGGACGCACGGAACATTTACTTTAGACGGGCATGCGCACCGGGTGTAATTGCAGCCATCCGCTTTGATTTAGAAATATTTGACGAGAGGACAAAGCGCAGCTAAAGACTCACGGTGATTCGTAACAAAAACAAAGCGCGCAGGCCGTCGTAAACCTTTCCCATAATACCCGTTTCCAGTCGAAAATAAAGACGTGAATGCGCCCGAACCTGGAGGGCAAAGTTCAACACGCTGCATTATAGCCGGTAAATATTTGAACTAAAGTATCTCTGTTGAGGAAATCCCCACTGCTCCTGAATTGTTGGAGATACAAGAATAGAATAGAATAGAATAGAATAGTAAAGCGCTATACAAATACAGACCATTTACCATTTACCATAATAGAATAAAAAGTAAACCAGGTGTATGTTCACTGTATCACCGGTACTTTCTGCACGTTTGGGTCTACAGGTTCCACGGAGGTGTGCCCCACTTGGGAAAAACTCCAACACATTCAGAGCACATAACCAACACTTATTTTCACTTCTCCAAATTCTGTAACTAAATCTAGCCAACATTTCATGACCAGACATCCATCCAGATACAAACAAACTACACCTGGTGCGGGATTAATAAAAATAATAGGTCATCACTTATGAGATAAAGCATTTAAAATCTTCTTTCCTTATATACAATGACCCCATGTTTTTTTTAATATCCTGTTAATTGCATACTATTTCTCCCCCAGTGCTCGAAATATACTTGAGTGAGTTCTGCTAAATTCCCACATTGCATTCTGCAGACTACACAAAGAGGAAATGTGACACACAAGAAAGCAAGTGTGACTACTGCAACCGAGCCAGCAATAAATAATGATAATGTGCTGTGTTTTACCCATTTTGACCCCTTCTTTTACCCACATTACAGAGTTAAAACACAGACCAGATGTAAGAAAAGAAAAGAAAAAAACACACAGAACATGTTAGACAAGACATTAATTGATCAACTATATTGATAATAATTGTGAAGAATTACAAAAAAACAATCCAACTGACTGCTGTTCCTCATTTGTGAAGATTAAGTGCATCTCTCTGGTTGCTGAAGAAAACAAGACATTTAAAGGCATCCTTTGAACCCCACAAAAAAGAAAAAGAAATGCTAACAGTTTTTAATGGTTTTCTGCAAATCAGATGTAGGGGGTGGGGTGGAAAATACCTAAATAAAACCTTAGTGGAAGCCCAGCAACTTGAGACCACAGCAGAATATAGCAAAAGGACTCCAGTATCACAAAGAAATTCTGCTGGATTTCAAAACAATTTCAAGGACTGTTTCTGAACAGTGGCACGATAACTCGTAGCTAAGCTTTTAAAATGGCTAAAGCCTTAAAGCCGATGCTAACATGGAAACAAATAAACACAAGAAAATCCAAGTTTAATTTGTAAGCAAAGCTTTATTAGTAGTTTTATTATAAAATCTACAGTGATATTAAATAAAAAAAATACTAGTTGTTTATGAAAAAGCTTTAAAATACACCCAATCCCCACCTCACATACACACACTAGTCGACATCATTACAAAGAAGCAGATTATCAGTCATAGTTGTGATTTTTTTTCCACTGCAGTGCATTATCCTTTATGAGATGGTGTTCATTCTTTTATAAAGCTGTATTTAATTAGTCAAATTCTACTGAAAATGTTGCAGGTGGTGTTCCACAGTAGCACAGGTCCATCCCAGTGTCTCTGATCACATGATAAAGCTACCCAAACAGCCTTCTGCGTCGGGATCAGTGGGGGCCCGAAAGCATAATTTCTACCCTTGGGCCCTGTAAGAGGTTAATGTGGCCATGGCTGAAGTTTCACCATAGTGGGCTATGGAGGAAATCTTTTCAAGCAACCAGAAGACCAGACTGAAACGGTATTTGCTGACACAACTGCATAAAGGAGGAAGCAACATTAACAAATGTAAACAAAGGCTTCATGAGTGTGGCGCAGTTATTAGTATTTGACAAGTCGAATATACAGCACTATGGTGAAGGAGTCCAAAACTTGCATTTAAAGCTGTTACAGGGATATTCTACCCATTGTGTGACTGATGTTTGCAATCCAGCCCATCTAGAAACAAAACAATCTCTGCTAAACCAAGGCCTCCCCC